CACTGGGCACTTTGAACGCTCCCATACCTTAATTGTAATGTTTTGGTAAACATTCCTAGAACGAAAAATCGTTAGTGGGGGCTGGTCACAGGCTCACCCAAACTGGACAGTTAAAGACTGGAAAGTCATTGCCTGCTCTGACGAATTGCAATTACTGCTGCGACATGCAGATCATAGGGTCAGAATTCGGCCTTAACAACATCAACCCATGGATCCAACCTGCCTTGTGCCAACGATTCAAGCTGCTGGTGGCATAATGATGGGGGAATGTTTTCTTGGCACGCATTCCTCCCCCCCCCACAATACCAGCAGGGCATTGTTTAAATACCACGGGCCAAATAGATAAGAACATATGAACTATACAACGAGAGGAGGCCATTCGGCCCATCGAGCTCGCTTGGGGAGAACTTAACTAATAGCTCAGAGTTGTTAAAATCTTATCTAGCTCTGATTTAAAGGAACCCAAGGATTCAGCTTGCACTATGTTATCAGGAAGACTATTCCATACTCTGACTACACGCTGTGTAAAGAAGTGCTTCCTTAAATCCAGTTTGAAATGTTCTCCCGCTAATCTCCACCTACGTGCCAACCTTCATGGCCCCAGGGTACCCATCATCTAATTGCTATATCCAGCAGGTACCAAACACAAGTCATCTCAAGCTGGTTCCATGAACATGCACTCCAGTGGCCTCCCCAGTCACCAGATCCAGTAGAGCACCTTTGGGATCTGGTGGAACTGGAGAGTCACAGCAGGAATGTGCAGCTGATCCACACCAAACACATGATGTAATCATGTCAACATGCACCAGACTGTCTAAGGACATAGTTGAATCAATGCCAATGAGAATTCAGGCCGTGCTCAGAGCAAAAGGGGGTCCTAGCAAGTATTTGAAGGGTGTTCCTAATAAAGTGGCCCATGAATGTATATATGTGTAGCAGCAGAGTTGGGTAATTCAGGTCCAGAGAGTAAAACTCCAGACCGGGATTTAGTTTCAACCAAGCAGTTGAGCATAAAGAGTCTCAGTCACAGAGTACTCAACTGGTTGGTTGAAATAAAATCCCAGTTGGGATTTTTACTCTCTGGACCTGAATTACCCAACTCTGTGTAACAGTAACTCCAGGTCAGAGCGAAATGGCATCCGATTCTGTGCACGTGTATGCAGGAAGGTGAAAGGCGAGTCCAGCTCCGTGCAACCTGTTGTGTGCTTGAAGTATCACCATCTGAAGTCTCAGGGGCTTTCATGAATAAACCATCTCTGTTTCGGGGAGAGCAGAACAGCACCTCCAGGGAGAGAGAGGGGGAACAAACCGATCTGACAGGGTCACCTTTGCTTATTGATCCAAATAATGAACTCTGCATATGCAGAAGTGCCGTCTTAAGCCTTCTTTTGCTTCCCGTCTAGATCAGACCATCCATCCGCTGGAAGCGCAGCTCCATCGTCAGTCGTTGCTAATAAACATTGAAATGCACACCTAATTCACTGCGACAGGAACACCTCTGAGTGCTGTGCTGTCATGGAAACAAGTCAGCGCCAGAGCCAATGTGGTGTTGATGATGTGTTTTGGAGTGACAACAGAGTCATCAGCTCCCCCCCCTTGCCGACCTGATTCCAGCTGTTTGTTATAAATGACAGCTGGCCCCAGCTGAGAGTTGAAGCCCTCTTCCAGGCACGGGGGGGTGGGTGGGGGGGGACACTCCACTAAATCAGTGTTCAGTGTAAACACATAAACCTTCTTATTTCAGTAATTCTGCAAATTAATTCCGGCCCAAACACAGACAGCTTGCCCACAGTATTCACATTTACTGTCTGTGCTCTGAGATAGATGTTCCCCCGTAATAAGCAATATACAATAAAATTAAACAAACAAAAAAATGTTCAAGACACGGATACTGAAACTGCAAAGTGCTGCAGCCCGCAGGGCCTGAGAAGGAGAATCTGTTGAATGTCAAGGTAAACAGACTTTTGAAAAACAGAGACGGACAGTGACTTAATTGAGCCTCAGCAGACAGTGATCTGAGGCTGGGGAATAACGTTCAGAGAGAAGCAGTCAGAAAGGAGCGACATCGGAGCTAAAACGATTAAATGAACTTACTGTGGGAAAAATGCTGCTGGGCTTCATTTTAATAGCCCCCCCCCCAATGAGAGAAGTTGGTTTGGGTCAGTATGATGCATTATTTATTTCAGTGGGACAGATGCATTTGCATGACTTATTTATGCATTATTTTTGTTTATTAAAATGCCTGAAATAAGATAATTTCACTACTAAATAACTTACTTTGACATTTTCTAAAGGGTGAAAAGTTCTAAAGTAGTATTTAGATAAAGTTTTATTTAGATTCAACAACGTGTTTTTTTGTGCCTCCTGTATAATACGCTGGCAGTGCATCAAACCTGTACTCTGCAGGTATCTTTTGTTACTCTACAGTAATATCAGGAGTATTACTGTACTCTACAGAATTATCAGGAGTATTAGTGCTTTGTTTCAGTATTGTCTCCCCAGATAATATGCAAAAAAAGGATGCAAAATAAACATATGCTTTGGAATTCAAAATGTTTGATGTCAGGCCATTATCAACAGACCTATTATCAACAAATGTCTCTTGAAAGCTGATTCAGTACCTGCTATTTTAAGTAAAGCAAAAGCAAACAAAACAATTATTTATTTTTATAACTTTTAACGTCTGTCTTGTCTCCATCTTTTAGCCATTTTTCTGGTCTGGGTGGCTTGTTTTTGTTTTTTGATTTTTATAAATTTAACATAATATATCAAAATATTGAAACTACCCATCCATCCATTTTCCAACCCACTTATCCTTCTGGGTTGCGGGGGGTCCGGAGCCTATCCCAGAAGCTACGGGCACGAGGCAGGGAACAACCCAGGGTGGGGGGCCAGCCCATCGCAGGGCACACTCACACACCATTTACTCACACACGCACACCTATGGGCAATTTAGTAACTCCAATTAGCCTCAGCATGTCTTTGGACTGTGGGGGGAAACTGGAGAACATGGAAGAAAGCCCACGACAACACGGGGAGAACATGCAAACTCCACACACATATAAAACAGGTGGAGACGTGAACCCAGGTCACAGAGGTGTAAGGCAACAGTGCTAACCACTGCTAACCACTGCACCCCCATGGGTGGAAATGAAACTATTGAATAATAATAACATAGAAGAACAGAAAAACAGGAAGCTGTTTATTATTACATTGTATACTGGGGGGTCTTTTAGACTTTTAAAACTCAGACATTTCGCAGATCAATAAATTTGAAGTGGTGCTTCAGGGAATGCAGATGAAGACGAGCTTCACCGTTTAAACCCACACAAATATCTGCTTCTTCTTTAGCAAAAAGTAACAATTCCTAATAACTCAGCTTAGCTCTGCGGTAAACCTAAGACATGATTTATGAGGCCCGTGGTCGCTAGTAAAATTAATCACTTGACACGCTATAAGTTCAGTTCAGTCACAGCTAGGTGGCAGCAGTCGAGCAAGAGCCTGCCTTTCAGGGGCTCTTAAAGAGCAGTTAGAGAAGGAGTGACTGGTGACGGTATTGGGGGGGGGGGGGACTGATGGGTCGCTGTAGAATGGGAAGGAGCACGCTCTGCTTGCGTGACAGCCGGCCTGCCTGCCCCGTGAGGCATCCAGCCTGCTGGTCTTTATTGGCCTGCATTACGCATGAATAGGCCTCGTTTTCACCCGCCTACCTCTATACCAAGGTTCACTCACCCCCCACTGCTCTACACAGCGTTTAACGTCGTGTAAAGTAGAGGGGAGACATGGGCAAGCATTTATTTTAATAATTTTCATCCATCTTCTATCCACCTATCCCAGCAAAGGGCAAAATACTGGACAGAGTAACAAGGCACACATATAGATTAGGTGTCTATATCTTTATGGGGCTCTCTATTCATTTCTGTGGGCAAAACTCTAATCCCAACAATGACAGCGTTAACCCTGCCCTGCCCTCACCTTAACCATAAGTAAACAAACAAAATACAAACCCTTTTGGTATTTTTAGTTTTTTGAATGCAATAACAGATTTTTTGAAAATTGAGACAAAATGCAAATAATAGCAGTTTTTATCTCTTTGTGGGGACATTTGATCCGCACTACGTAATACACACATAACCCACACACACATGAACATACTGTACGCTGTAATAATGTCCCCCGCAAAAGACGATGGGACAGAACATGTGACTTGCACACGCAGAGCAGAGGCGGGTATTTAGCCCCCAGCCCTGGAGTTATGAGCGATGCCCGCTGAGTCTCTCATAATAAATTTCTTTGAAACATAATACCCGCTGCACACTTTAATGATACGACGGCTTTCAGCGAGACGTAATACCCCCATTTCGACATAACACTCATAAAAACACTGCACCCCCTCCCCGTTGCGATAATGTGCAAGGAGACATAATCGCACACTATCACGTGAATGTCCCCCCCCCTCCACACTTTTGATATGAGAACCTCTAGCAGGAGGTGAGATACTGGCCTATAACCAGTAGGTTGCCGGTTCTCAAAGCAGCAAACTTCCGACAGTGTGGGCGACACGAGGCTTTCAGCTCCGTGGTTGGTGGGATCACTGGGTGCCATCAATCACAGCCCTCCGAAAAACACTTCCTGCTGCTTCCCATTGGTCCAAAGCAGCCGGTGATTTTCAGGGCACGGTGATCCTGCCCCCTTTGCCTATCTGAGCCTCTTCTCTCCCATCGAGCGATTCCCGAGCCTTGTGTACACCCGGCAAGGCATGAGGGCAGAAAGAGCGACTTTGCTGAACATTATGGTAGTTTCGTTAGGAATCATTTTGTTTTCCCTCTTCATAACACCCACCAGCAAGGCCCACCACGTAACGTGAAGCCAGGGCACTTACGTGTTGTCTAGTGCCTCCACCTCATTATATCTTTGACAGACGACAGCGCCGAAAAGCTTCACTCCTAACAGTGCTCCTGCTGGGCAAAAAAACTGCAGACGCACTGCGAAATGTCTCCGTTTATTTATATCCACAGTGACAGATATACAGGTACACCAGCAGACTGTGAGATGTAAAAAGTAAACAGGGAACCTCACATCTATCATCGGTACAGCAGAGAATAGCAAAACAAAACATTTTTAGTTATTTAAATCCCCCTCTGATCTTCCACAGCAGAGGCGTTGTGGTGAGTGTGTAACACCAGCATCACGGGGAAAGGGGTTCGTGGTCAAATGTGACTTTCGGAAAATACAGCTACAATGCAGAACGTGGTTCTGAAGCACAATTAAACTGCCTGGCGACTGGGATTAATGGACACATCTCACATGAATCAGGCCCATCAGCTACAGGCTACACTACCAGTCAAACGATTTTTTGCACACGCTGAGATTTTCTACGTTTGCATGTTACTCACTTAACATTTACGAAAAATACACTCAATATTCTTTGTTAACAAATAAATGTGCAGTATGTTCACCATTTGAGTACCTTTATTAGCAAGAAAATGTCATATCTTTGATTCATCAAAGTAACCTCCTCTAGCAGTTACAACAGCAGAGAAGATTCGAGGCATTCTTTCTACACGGGACATTAAATACCGCGCTGTTTCATGGGATGATACAATTAACTACGGCATTTAAAGTTAAAAGACAGCCTAGAATTTGACTATGCCATCACCAAACGACCAATTAATAGAGTGTCAGACATGCACCATTACATATTCTTTCCATGTTATAAAGGAAGCTTATTTTATTTGACTTATATGTTGATTTATAGTTGTTCACTCGACTTCCCAATGCTTAAGAAGGATAAAAAATCTGCAGTTTATGAAATAAATGGGAAAGTGGTACAAACCGGTGGTATGCCAAAGCTTTTGACTGGTAGTGTATATGAGAACCCAAAAATCTCCCGCTGATCCTATTCGCAGTATAACACCTGAACTAAGTAAGGGCTAAACTACTTACTTCAGCCAGCTTGAGGGAATAAAACTTACAAGGAACTGATGAGAAGCTTTGACCCAACACTGTTCCGTGCCGCTCTGAGCGAGCGTCAAATGATACTTCCATTCTTTTCTGACCTAGTGTTATTATTCCTGCCTATGCGGTAAAAGCACATCTTGATGTTTTTTTTCTTCGAGTGATTATGCATTATTTTTACTGGCCAAAAGTAGGTGACTGACTCCCAAAGACTTACAGTCATTTCATCCCCAATTCCTGTGAGAAACCTTCCCTCATAATTAATGGCTCGTATCGAAATCCTATACTAGATCAATGAGTGTCTTGAAGTCATTTGAGTCATTTTCAGTCCCTGCAAACAACGATCACATCAGTAGAGGAGCTGTGATTGGGATAAATGACACAGCAGCCATCATTAGCGCCCCCCCCCCCTTGCTTGGGAACCATGGGCCCCAGGGCTCAGAACAAGCGCTCTCCTACACCCAGGCCCTAACATCTCCACCCCAGACCCAGCACCTCTCTCCACGGTAACAAGCGCGTGCGATGGGCTGGAAGAGCAGGAAGAGGCGGAGCCTGCGTGCCAAGCCACAGAAGGTCGCCGCAGCGACCACCACCAGTGGTGACATCATCACAAAACCCAGGATTATGAGAGCAGAGCAGCTGTTGTCTTCCAGGTACTGGCAGAGACTGGCTTGAGAGTTCATGACCTGCCGGGGAAGAGGAGGCATTTGAAACTTTCAAACCAGGGGGAAGGAGTGAGAGAACGAGGTGCAAAAATGGTAACAACAGAAGAGGAAGTTAACAGGGCAAGGATTCGCCATGAATCTTACACCTATTCTACTTAAATTAAAACTGGCTGCCACATTGTGGAATGATAGCAAATGGACATGAAAAAAAGGTCTATGAACTCAGGACGACACAAGAAGCTGGTGGATGAAGATGGGAAATTGGGACCAGAAGGGGGGAGGGAGAAGGAGGGAGAGAAGGGAGATGGGGGTTCATTGAAAAGAGGGCCGTGTGTTAAAGACAACACCCCCGGGTGTGTGAGGCAACGTGTGCGACAGACTCTCAGTCTTCTGTCCCCTCCCCCCGCACCAAGGCTGTCAGTGAGCTACCAGAGAAGATGACAAGGGAGTGAAAACAGTATGGGGGGGGGACGAAAGAGGTGTTGTGGGAAGGGGACAGGAGTTAATAATGTCTGAGATTCTTCAGATAGTGTTTGGTAAAAATAACATGTACGCTGGACGTTCACACACACACACACACACACACACGCACACACACACACAGGTTTGTAATTATATCTTTCTGAGGACTCTCCATTAATTTCTATGGGGAAAATCCTATTTCCAGCATGAAGACCTCAACTCCTACCCAGCCCTGACCTTAACCATAAGTAACTAAACAAAATACAAAACTTTTGGCATTTTTATTTTTTTGATTGCATTCATCTTTGGGGGGACCTGAAAAATGGTCCCCACAATGCCAAAATAGCAGATTTTTATCACATTGTGGGGGACATTTGGTCTCCAGAATGTAATATAAACATAATCCACACACACGCACACACACATACACACGCACACACCTGCACACAGCCCCGCAGCACTGAGGGGGGGTGTGCCCGATGTTGGCACACCATGTGACTACAGTGTGGCTCCCTCTCTCTCTGATTTCCATTCAGTTCACTTCATCACTCCCCCCCCCGCCTCCCCGCCCTCTGCTGTCGTTCCGCAGTGGCGCTCCAGGGCCGCAACCTGAACTGATTCCTTCACTTTATTACTGAAGGCATGGAGGCCGCCAAAACGCACATCAGTCTGGGGCGACAGGTATGCGTTTTTTTTTTTACGGGGGGTGGTGTTTGATGTAGCTGTTGAGATCTGACATCCTGCCTGACTTCCATCATGCAGATCTCAGCTATGGGGTGTGTTTGACCTTCCAAGCGTGACGAGGGGGATCACATGCTACGCACAGAAAGCAAGCATGCAAACATACAACCATAAAGCGTGCCATGTGCTGTCATGTGTGGCCGGCCATGTTGAGTGGTGGGCGGAGCCCCGTGGGCAGGCTGGGGGGGGGGGAGGGGGAGTGGCCAGCGGCTTCCTTACGCGTGAGTGGCAGAGGAAGCCGGCGTAGAGCAGCAGCGCGACGGGCAGCAGCACCAGGGCGAACACGGCGGCCAGGACCAGCAGGCAGGCCGTGGCCACGCCCACATTCCACAGCACCAGCCCCGCCCCCCAGGCCAGGCAGGCGGCGGGTCCCCGGCGGGCACCCCAGGCGCCCTCCTCGCTGTGCGCCGGGGGCGGGGGCAGCAGCATCCTCACACCCTCCCCCATCCCGTACTCCTCCTGGTCCTTCTCCTCCTCGCCTGAGCTGCTCTCCTCCAAGTCCACGCCCATGCCGCACATCCTGAGTCAGAGGGGCGGAGCAAGAGAGGAGAGCGGGATGCTTCCACCAGTAACAGGAAAAGGTAACAAACACACAACAGAAGGCCTGGGGGGGGGACTGCTGTAGGGACTCGGAGGATCAACGTGACAGACAAAGAAAAATCACTGGCAACTGTAAAGTGATTAGATCTGACTGTAGTGACACTGATCACCTGTAGCTTCCTCATTTTCCATTCTATTTGCCTTTAATTTTTATGATTTGCCCCCGCATTCTTTCTGTATTATTCTTGTAACTTCTCAGTTGATCGATATTTCCCGTCACCTGCTCAGTCATTCATATCTGTTGTTTTTTTTACACCGGTGCACAACGCATAAATAATTTTTCGCACCCATGTTTGGAATGACGGGTGGGATGGGAATAATGGAATAAATCTGAAAGCTCTTACGAGTGTCTTGGCCCCAAGAAACGAGGGAGTAAATGCTCATGCGAGAAAATACTGATGAAAAACATTTAATCAAGGTAAGGTACACACTCAGGAACACAGGCACGCAAGTTTAGTCGCAGAGCGACCTGCTGTACGGCAGACCGTAGCTGCTGCCGCTTAGTCTGTTATCTTATGTTCACACACAATCTGTCAATCACCTCTGCCGCTACAGAACTATGAACAATGTCAGCAATGAAACCGCAAGCAAACAGAAACGATCCGATAAATGATATAAAGCACTTTCACTCTTTTGCCTCTGCATTTCTCAACGAACTTACTAGTGACTGAGCTCGTCCTACTGATCCTCACCTGTCACATAACCATGATCAGCAACAGTAGAAATGATCACTGCAATCATCTTTATGCCAACTGTCAATCACACCATCGTAATCAAAGACACGTGATATCTGGTCCTTATCTTCCCGGTGTTTTTTTCTCTCTCTTATATGTGTATTTTGGGGCGGAACCCTCACCTGGCGTTGCGGTCCCGGTGCGCTTCTGTCCGCAAACTGCTGAGTTCGGCTTAAAGACAGCGAGTCCCGGGCGTCTCAACGAGTCCCCGAGGCGTCCGCGGTGCCCGGTGAGTCGGGGCTGAGCAGCTGTGCGCTGGCGGACGGTCCGAGCATTGGCACGCGTAAGAAGCCTGCGCGGAGGCAGCCGCGACTGCGTGTGTGTGTGTGTGTGTGTGCGCGCTTGCCCGTGTGTGTGCGCGCGTACGGAGCATTGGGTGGAGCTGGTTTCAAACGGGTAGAGGGTCGGCAAGATGAGATCTGAGGGGGAAAATGGAAAGGCTTTAGGGTTGTAGGGGAAAGGACGGGATGCAAAAGAAATCTGTCGACCGGCAGGGAAGCCATGTAGGGTAAGAATTCGTAGTTCATAGTTTGTCAGTCCTAAACTGATGGTTAGGTTGGTTGGTTGAAGTGCTTATACCTGTTTTGGGGCAAGAATATTGGGTTTCATTTATGTTGCTTGGAATAAAAATGCCAGAGTATCAACAAGAAAAAATGCAATGAAATGTATTTACCAGTCGCTTTTTTTACCAGTGACTGAGCTGACCTGGGGTCCACACAGGTTCAGACTCCCAGCAGGTCCTGTCCTGTGCGAGCATCACCGCCAGCGTCTCCTGTACAAGGCAGAGTGAAATCAGCCGGCAAGTTGGTGCCCCCACAGAGGCTGGCGCCTGTTGCGGACCCTCACCTGTGCCTTGTTAGGTTTTGGTCCGCGCCTGTCCCTCCTGTGCTGCTCACTGTACATGTGATTATTGTTAATGCTGTGTTACTCTCCCGCATGGTCCCAGTCCAGTAAATTCCTCTTGTCTTTTCCCTTAGTTTGGTCCCAACCCTTGTAATCCTTGTCTAACCCGCCTGTCTTTCTTTGACCCCTCGTGGTCCTTTTGCTTTCATAAGTTATTTTGTTTGGGTTTCCATAATAAAGCCCCCCTGTTCTAATGCCCCCCCATGGGTCACCCCTCTATTCCCGTGCCCCGTCATGACACCCCTTTGTTCAGATGCGTTCCGTGGTCCATTTGTGACACGTATATAAATCCTTTTATGGGGATCGTGTTGGGCAGCCTTTGGTTCCTCTGGCTGAAGACCACCCCCTTCCATGTGCACTGTATGTTCTGCTGTCTCAGCAGTCAGCATAATAACCGGGCCTGTGGTTCTGGGTTCTGGGACTCACCATCGGCATTTTTTGCATTCGCTCTATTTGCATGGGTTTCCTCCTATATAGCATATATAGTTCTGGCGATCTGGCGTCTCTAATTTACCTGTAATGTATGTGAGTTTGTGCTGTTAATGTGCAATGGACTGAAATTCCATCCAGGGTGTCCCACTACCTTCCCGGTCCTGACTCCCGGTCCTGACTCCCTGTGCTGACTCCTGGTCCTGACTCCCGGTCCTGACTCCCGGTCCTGACTCCCAGTTCTGACTCCCGGTCCTGACTCCCTGTGCTGACTCCCGGTCCTGACTCCCGGTCCTGACTCCCGGTCCTGACTCCCAGTTCTGACTCCCGGTCCTGACTCCTGGTCCTGACTCCCGGCCCACTATGTACTGGATAACTGCCAGTGGAAAATGGACGGATGAATATTTCTTCACCCCGGTGGCATCTTTTTACATTGTTGAGCTACACAACAACTTAGCTGGGATGGTTCTTGGGCCACAAACTCTTCTTGAGAAACATCAGAAACAAAAATGATGATACCACCAACATCACAGGCCCGGAAAAGCGAGAGTGAAGAGAGACATGCTTCTGAAATGCAGTCACCCCGCCCCCCCCCCAACCCCTCCACCCATCCCACATCAATCAGGCTATTTCGGCGGCAGCCCGAGGGCCCCCCAGAGGTGCCAACGCTTCCGTGTCCCAGTTGTTGTGGAAGGGCCGGCGTGCACGTCCAGGTCAGCAGAATGGAAATACACAGAGCCACAGATCAGCCGTTTATGATTCGGTGTCTGTCTCTATCTGTCAGTCTAATGGATCAAACAGTCAACTGCGAGTAAAGACTCCTCGTCAGTGTGGAGGTGCGGGGGGTGAGTGTTACCTTGGAATGAAATGAAAAATAGTAGAAAAGGCTGTGACAGAAATATTTCCTTTTTCTTTCTTCCACCATCCTCAACTTGTTAGTCACTCATCTCTCATCTCTCTTCTTTTTGTTTCCAATCTCTCTTCCAATCTCTTCTTTTCTAACATTTTTTTCCCACAAACCACTCTGTTTTGTAGAGATTAGAGCGATCGATCCCCCCCCCCATGACAGCTGCCCCCCTTCCCCACCCCCGCCTGTATAGTCACCCTTCCGGCCCTCTATCCCTATCTCTATATCGCTCTGAAGGTTAAAGGGGGAGTTAAACACACCCAGATGGGCAGAAAGGCAGAGAGGTGACACAAAGCGAAGATTAAAGCAGGGCAATGCAGGAACAAGAGACTAAAACAAGCTTTATCTGTCATGGGTGAGGAAACACAGGAGGCGGAACTCTCTAGAAAGGCAGAGCACAGAAACTCGGCTGAAAGCTGAAAGCACCCCCCCCCCATTACGCTAACAGTTGACTGTGCTGGGTGCACATCGCTCTCTCTGACTGTGCTGGGTGCACATCGCTCTCTCTGACTGTGCTGGGTGCACATCGCTCTCTCTGACTGTGCTGGGTGCACATCGCTCTCTCTGACTGTGCTGGGTGCACATCGCACTGTG